GGACACGAACTCATCGTTTTTGCTGGCTGCATAATATTCCATGGTGTATATGTGCCACATTTTCCCTGTCCAGTCTATCATCGATGGGCATTTGGGTTGGTTCCAGGTCTTTGCTATTGTAAACAGTGCTGCAATGAACATTCGTGTGCATGTGTCCTTATAGTAGAACGATTTACAGTCCTTTGGATATATAACCAGTAATGGGATTGCTGGGTCAAATGGTATTTCTATTTCTAGGTCCTTGAGGAATCGCCACACTGTCTTCCACAATGGTTGAAGACACTCCCACCAGCAGGGTAAAAGTGTTCCTATTTCTCCACATCCTCTCCAGCATCCGTTGTCTCCAGACAACAGCTTTTCTTTTCTTTTCCTTTTTTTTGAGACAGGGTCTCACTCTGTCACCCAACCTGGAGTGCAGTGTGCAATCTCAGCTCACTGCAGCCTCTACCACCCAGATTCAAACAATTCTCCTGCCTCAGCCTCCTGAGTAGCTGGGATTACAGGCAGGCACCACCACGTCTGGCTAATTTTTTTGTATTCTGGTAGAGATGGGGGGTTTTACCATGTTGCCCAAGGTGGTCTTAAACTCCTAAACTCAGGCAATCTGCCTGCCTTAGCCTCCCAAAGTGCTAGAATTACAAGCATAATCCACTATGCCTGGCCCCCTACAGGTTGTTTTTTTTCCCCTTTTTTTATTTTTTATTTTTTTATAGAGACGGGGTTTCCCCATGTTGGCCAGGCTGGTCTTGAACTCCTGACCTCATGTGATCCGCCTGCCTCGGCCTCCCAAAGTGCTGGGATTACAGGCATGAGCCACCGCACCTGGCCTTTTCCTTTTTTTAAAATAAAATTTTATTTATTATTTTTTTTTATATAGAGACAGGGTTTCATCATCTTAGCTGGTGAACATCTGACCTTGTGATCCACCTGCCTTGGCCTCCTAAAGTGCTGGGATTACAGGCATGAGCCACCGCGCCCAACCCCCCCCAAAGTTTTTAATTATCCCATGAAACAATGAACATATTTGTTTCCCAACACATTGTGACTTCTTTTTTTCTTGCAATTTTTTTTTTTTTGAGACAGAGTTTCACTCTGTCACCAGGCTAGAGTGCAATGGCACCATCTCGACTCACTGCAACCTCCACCTCCTGGGTTCAAGCAATTCTCCTGCCTCAGCCTCCCAAGTAGGCGGGATTACAGGCATATGCCACCATGCCCAACGAATTTTTGTATTTTCAGTAGAGACAGGTTTTACCACGTTGGCCAGGATAATCTCGATCTCCTGACCTTGTGATCCACCCACCTCAGCCTCCCAAAGTGCTGGGATTACAGGCATAAGCCACTGCGCTTGGCCACATTGTGACTTCTTTGAGGGTAAGGACAAGCTCATACCCATCTCTGGATTACTAGCACTAGCACAGTGCTTGTATATGAGAGTGGCCCAATAAATGTTAAAGTGCACGCTCTTTGTTTGAAACAGATGGAAAGGGTGGGTGTGGTGGCTCACGCCTATAATCCAGGCACTTTAAGAGGCCGAGGTAGGTGGATCACCTGAGGTAAGGAGTTTGAGACCAGCCTGGCCAACATGGTGAAGCGCCCCGTCTCTACTAAAAATACAAAACTTAGCCAAGTGTAGTGGTATGTGCCTGTAGTCCCAGCTACTTAGGAGGCTGAGGCAGGAGAATCGCTTGAACTTGGGAGGTTAGGGTCACAGTGAGCCAAGATTGCACCACTGCACTCCAGCCTGGGTGACAGAATAAGGCTGTGTCAAAAGGAAGGAAGGGAAGGAGGGAGGGAGGGAAAGAGAGAGAGAGAGAAAGAAAAAGAGAAATCAGTTGATGGAAAGAATCTACTGGATGTTTGATCAAAAGTAGAGTCAATTACTGTATTACCGAAAAACAAAATCTTTCGCTGTGGAATTAAACTGACAACTTAATATGTCCATCATGGCAGAACGAACCCCATGCTATGGAATGTTCTACAGTAGTAAATGAGGAAGCGAATCACACTGACATGGAAAACGCTCCACTCTTCATTAGTTAAAAAAATTGCAGGCCGGGTGCAGTGGCTCACTCCTATAATCCCAGCTCTTTGGCAGGCCCAGGCCAGTGGATCACCTGAGGTCAAGAGTTCAAGACCAGCCTGGCCAATATGATGAAACCCTGTCTCTACTAAAAATACAAAAAAATTAGCTGAGTGTGGTGGCAGTGCCTGTAATACCAGCTACTTTGGGCAGCTGAAGCAGGAGGCTCTCTTGAACCCAGGAGGGAGAGGTTGCAGTGAGCTGAGATAGAAGAGCAAAACTCTGTCTCAAAAAAAAAAAAAACAATGTAATTGTATAACATTTTATGCTTTTAAAAAACATAAAATGCAATCAAGGTGTTGGCTGCAAAAAATAAAAAACGTGTATTATAAAAAGATAAAAGCTACATGTTTCTAGAGACATATATGTGTGTAAAACAGCAAAAGACCTAGAAGCTTACACACCACACTGATAATAGCAGTTACCTCCACAAGAGAGAGTGGGGGTTTGGCTTGGTGACAAGGAAATTTACCTGTATGTAGAATGAACTTTATTTTATTTTTTTTACCCCCCACCGAATTTTTTTTTTTTTTTTTGAGGCAGAGTTTCGCTCTTGTTACCCAGGCTGGAGTGCAGTGGCATGATCTTGGCTCACCGCAACCTCTGCCTCCTGGGTTCAGGCAATTCTCCTGCCTCAGCCTCCTGAGTAGCTGGGATTACAGGCACGCACCACCGTGCCCAGCTAATTTTTTGTATTTTTAGTAGAGACGGGGTTTCACCGTGTTGACCAGGATAGTCTCGATCTCTTGACCTCGTGATCCACCCGCCTCGGCCTCCCAAAGTGCTAGGATTACAGACGTGAACCACCGCGCCCAGCCTTTTTTTTTTTTTTTGAGACAGAGTTTCACTTGTTACACAGGCTGGATGGAGTACAATGGTGTGATCTCAGCTCACCGCAGCTTCTGCCTTCCGGGTTCAAGCGATTCTCCTGCCTCAGCCTCCGGAGTAGCTGGGATTACAGGCATGTGCCACCACACGTGGCCAATTTTGTATTTTAGTAGACATGGGGTTTCTTTAAAAAAAAAAAAAAAAAAGATAGGGTTTCACCATGTTGGCCAGGCTGGTCTTGAACTCCTGACCTCAGGTGATCCACCCACCTTGGCCTCCCAAAGTGCTGGGACTACAGGCATGACCACTGCACCCAGCCGACATGGGGTTTCTCCATGTTGGTCAGGCTGGTCTCAAACTCCCGACCTCAAGTGATCCACCCCTCCCCACCAAGTGCTGGGATCACAGGTGTGAGATACCACGCCCGGATAGAATGAATTTTTTTTTAAAGATTACATTTGTGTAATTAAATTCTATTAAAATTTCAAGTGAATTTCTATTTCTACCAATTTGTCTACTGCCTGAATACATAACTATTTTTTTTTTTAAGAGACGGGTTTCACCATATTGGCCAGGCAGATCTTGAACTCCTGACCTCAAGTGATCCACCCGCCTCGGACTCCCAAAGTGCTGGGATTACAGGTGTGAGCCACCGCGCCTGGCCTCATAACTATTCTTAAAAGATAGAATAGACTCTCTCTGGGACTGCCAATAATATTTCCTTCTAAGGATAGACACCTGACCACTCTCCACCTAAGCATCATGAAAAATGTAGAGAAAGGAAGAGTTAAGAGCTCCTTAAACAAGCTGAGGATTGACACAGCCCTGGCCCTGACCACCAGGGCCTTCAACTAGGCCTTTCTGAGAAGGGTGGCCAGGCATCAGTTTAGTAGGAGAGAAAGCAGATGACTTATTTCCATCCACACTTAGGGAAAGTACACTCTCCAAGGACTGCATACGTTTTTCTTTTCTTTTCTTTTCTTTTTTTTTTTTTTGAGACAGTCTCACTCTTGTAGCCCAGGCTGGAGTGCAGTGGCCTGATCTAGTCTCACTATAACCTCCACCTCCTGGGTTCCAAGAAATTCTCCTGCCTCAGCCTCCTGAGTAGGCGCCCGCCACCACGACTGGCTAATGTTTGCAGTTTTGGTGTGAGACAGGGGTTTCACCATGTTGGTCAGGCTGGTCTCGAACTCCTGACCTCAAGTGGGAGGCCGCCGGCCTCGGCCTCCCAAAGTGTTGGGATTACAGGCGTGAGCCACATTTCTATGAGCACATTTCTACCGAGCTGTAAGTTAAAAAAGAAGACAGCGAGGTGCTTCTGTCATTCTGCGACAGAAACAGCTAAAGAGATGTTCACAGGATTTAATGGAACAGAAATAGGAGAAGTGCTCTTTTATTTGTGACTATAGCGTCACAAATATGTCTTGCTTGTGTAGTACTTAAGTTTGAAATATTCTTTCTTATACAAATGAGTGGGGCTTAACCTAAGAAATACAGGCTAAATTCTGCGATGAATGCATCTATCTCTGACCCGTCAGCAAACATCTTTTTTTCTGGCTTCAGTTTCCTCAATAAAAGAGGGGGTTGCGGCGGACTCAGCCTGAAACACAGCCTTTCTCCGACGTCTATCCAAAGCCTAGGGCGGCTCAATACCAACCGGCAGGCAAGCGCCTCCTCCGCGGGGCTGCGGACTGGACGCCAGTGATTCCCATTCCTCGGCCGGGCTCTCCAGGTGACCGGAAGAACCCCTAGTGCGGGACTGCAGTGCGCTCGACCCGCTCCAGGCGCGGGTCGCTCCCGAACCCTGGCAGCTATCAGTCCAAGGCCGGAAAAGGTCCCGTGGTCGACCCGGGGCCGGCGTTGGGGAGGTAGGAGAGGAGCGCGCTGGCCCCGTGACGTGGTCCAATCCCGGGCCGACGCCAGCAGTTTCTCCCCAACCGGTGGCTGGTCCCCTCTGCCAACTCCAGAACAAGGCTAGCAAAGGGGAGGGGGCGGGGCCTGGGACGTGGTCCAATGGGCACGCGCGCTGGGCGGCGGGGCGGGGCCGGGCGCGCGGCGCAGGGCCGGGCGGCGGAGGCTCCAATGAGCGCGCGCCGCGTCCGGGGCCGGCTGGTGCGCGAGACGCCGCCGAGAGGTTGGTGGCTAATGTAACAGTTTGCAAACCGCGGGGAGTTGTGAAGGGCTCGGGCTGGGGGCACTGCCGGCCTCGTGGGTACGTCCGTGCCGCGTCTGTCCCAGAGCTGGGGTCTCAGGAGCGGAGGCAAGAGGTAGCGGGGGTGTTCGGAGCTGCGGGCCGGCCACCCTTCCTAGGGGAGACAGCGTGCAAGCTCCGGGGGCGGGTCGGGACCGCGAGGGAGGGCCTCGCGGACGCCGGGCGCTCGGCCTCGCACCGAGGGCCCAGCAGCTCGGCCCCGGGTCTGCCGTTACGCGCTGGGGCAGGCCGGGATCCGTTTCCGGGAGTAGGAGCCGCTGCCTTCGTCAGGTGAAGCTGAGGTGAACACCGGGTACCGGGTACCCGCCGGGCAGTGAACCTTACGGCCCGTGGCACAGGGTCTGTGTGCACAGCGGGGCCAGGGAGTGGGCTGGGGAAGGGGAGGGGGCAGGACAACCCGCAGGGATGCCGAGGAGGAGACCGGCCTTTCTTCCATCCCAGCCATCCCCAACGTCATTACCTCTCTGTCCCCGTCCAGGCCCAGCCTGGCTTTCCCCGCCGGCGGGGGAGCTCCAGGTGTGAGGAGGTGGTTGAGCCCTACGCGGGGATCCCTGGCCGCACCCCAGGTGTCTGACCACAGCCATAGTGCTACGGTCCTCCACTCACTGCCTGTGTGGTGGACGCAAGGCTCAAGTCTCCTTCCTCTTGTCCTGTTAGCTTCTCTGTTTAAGGATGTGGCAGAGCCGAGGACCCATGCTTTTTCGCTTGGGCCTTTGTGTGGGCGCTGCTGGGATGATTAGAGTGGTTGGTACCCATCAGGAGGGAGATGGGGAGAAGTAGGCGTCTCTGCCCTGGGTGAGAATGGAGTAGGTATGGATCTTAGAGCTGCTCCGTTCTGGGATGTGGTTCTGTCTCCTCTGCGGGCATCCAGTTTCAAGTGTTTTCTTTCTTCCCCTCCCCCAGGGGCACAATGGCAGCCACAGTCAGGAGGCAGAGGCAGAGGAGGCGAGTCTGTTGGGCCTTGGTGGCTGTGCTCTTGGCAGACCTGTTGGCACTGAGTGGTATGTAACCCGGTAGAGGGAGCAAAAGGATAAATGGTGACTGAACGATGCGTGGTGGGAAGCGGGCATAGGGCCCTTGGTCAGAAGTCTCTTGTTAGGTCCAGCGTTTTTGTCTTTTGCTGTCTTAGTTTCCCCACAGAAAGTGGTATGCTTTGATTAGAGGGGGCCTCAGGAAGGTGGGGGAAGGGAGAGCTAATTGACAAACCTCTCTCTCCTTCAGATACACTGGCAGTGATGTCTGTGGACCTGGGCAGTGAGTCCATGAAGGTGGCCATCGTCAAACCTGGAGTGCCCATGGAAATTGTCTTGAACAAGTGAGGGTGGCCCCCGTGTTAAGGGTGGGGAACGAGGGAGTCTGGGCTCCAAGTGTGAATGTGTTCTTCCTAGTGCCCACAGCAGACTTCGGCGTCTGAGTGGTTAGATGTATGTGAGTGTCGAGGCTTCTGAGTCCTTCTGCAGCAGCTACCTGGGCCCAACATGTCTTTTCCTCAGGGAATCCCGGAGGAAAACCCCGGTGATTGTGACCCTGAAAGAAAATGAAAGATTCTTTGGAGACAGTGCAGCAAGCATGGTGAGCTAGCAGTCCCCCTTCCCAGAGTGGTGGGCAGAGGAGAGGAGATGGCAGCCCCCAGAGTCTGTTTCCTGATTAGTCTCTGTGATGTAAGAGGTAGGTAATGGTGGACTTGGGAGCCTAATACTCTGCTCCTTCTTCACCTGTCAGGCCATCAAGAATCCAAAGGCTACACTGCGTTACTTCCAGCACCTCCTGGGGAAGCAGGCAGATAACCCCCATGTAGCTCTTTATCAGGCCCGCTTCCCAGAGCATGAGCTGACCTTCGACCCACAGAGGCAGACTGTACACTTCCAGATCAGCCCGTGAGTATTCTGTTGGGGAAGGTGGTCTCAGCATCCTTGCTGGGCTCCTCACTGGTGTGTGTTCCTGATTGTCCCACCTTAATGCCTGGTTTTCCATGGCTCAAACTACTTTCCCTCCCCTCAGGCAGCTGCAGTTCTCACCTGAGGAAGTGTTGGGCATGGTTCTCAATTACTCTCGTTCTCTGGCTGAAGATTTTGCAGGTGAGTGGTCCAGGTGTGGCCTGGGGTGGCCAGGCTCCCTAGGATCTAAGGCAATGATTCTCAAACATGGGCAGTTTTGCCAAACAGGGAACATTTAGCAACATTTGAAGATAGATTTTGGTTGTCACATCTAAGGGGTGCTACTGACCTGGTGGGTAGAGGTCAGGGATGCTGCTAATCCTCCTACAGTGCACAGGACAGCACCCACAACAAAGAATTACCGACTCCAAAATGTCACTAGTGACAGGGTTAGAAGTCCTCATCTAAGGTGTGGAGCCGGCAGGAGCCTTTTCTGTTGTCATCTGTAGAGCAGCCCATCAAGGATGCAGTGATCACCGTGCCAGTCTTCTTCAACCAGGCTGAGCGCCGAGCTGTGTTGCAGGCTGCTCGAATGGCTGGCCTCAAAGTGCTGCAGCTCATCAATGACAACACTGCCACCGCCCTCAGCTACGGTGTCTTCCGCCGGAAAGATATCAACACTACTGCCCAGGTGAGCCAGGGAGACCTGACCAGACATGCAGGGTGGCTGAATCTAAGGATGGATGCCACTTGGTCCCTTTTGCTTCTTGTTTGCATGGTGGAACTGGCACTTGGCAAAATGCACCTATAGTCTCCTCTCAGCCTCTTGGAGGCAGGCAGGTGGACAGGCACCCTGAGTCTGAAAAGGTTACTGTGACAGTTGCTTTGATATATCTACAGAATATCATGTTCTATGACATGGGCTCAGGCAGCACCGTCTGTACCATTGTGACCTACCAGACAGTGAAGACTAAGGAAGCTGGGATGCAGCCACAGCTGCAGATCCGGGGAGTAGGGTAAGTGGGTGCTTGGGGAGGGCTTCTTGTGGAGACCCTGAAGTCAGGGGTTTCTTCTTGGAGGAGCAACTGCTTTGCTTTCCTCCATACTTCAGGAATGCTCTCCTGGTTGAGACATCAGTCATTGTAGGGGACCACTCACAAAGAGTAAGGGGAAGCTGAGGAGCAGGGGAGGACAGTTTGGGAAAATTGGAAGACATGGAACTTTCTAGACATTGTGAGGAATTCCATGGAGCTGCAGGCAATATGTAGGGTGTCAGATTCAATCTTGTTTTTGTTCTTTTGTCATTTCCAGTTAAATAATTACCACTCTTGTTTTCTTATTTCTTTTTTTAATTTTATTTTTATGGCCTGTGACATAGCCCTTAGGAGATCCTGAGAACATGTACCCCATTGTCTTATTTCTTGAAGCCATCTTTTTCTGTCTTCACTATTACCATCCAGTCCAAGTTACCATCACCTCTTATCTGCAGAATTAAAAACATCTCCCTATTTCTGGTGATGTCTTCTTTTAGTTCTTTCTTCATATTGCAGCCAGAGGGTTCCTCTTAAAATTCAACATGATTGTCATTTGTTTCCTTAAAAACCTTTCACTGGCTCCAAAACTTTCCCTGTGCCTGTCTCAGCCCTGCCTTCCGCAGCCTGTCTGAGCCCTGAGCCCTGAGCCCTTTCGCTCTTTGAGCCCCAGTGATGCTTTCCCTCCTCTGGAACTTGCCACGCACTCTCCCACTTCAGGATCTTTAAGAACACTGTTGCCTCTGTCTAGAACATTCTTTGTCCTCCAGCTAGTGAACTCTGAACTCTTTAGTTCAAGTGATGCTTGCACTGAAATCATCCTTCAGGTTTCAGTTCAAGCATCACTTTTTAGGGGACAGGTCCTTGAGCCTCCCTCTACTGAGGGAGTCTACTTCAACGTCCCCCATGCATGTTCTGCGAGCATTGTCTCCTGACCTTTACAACATGTGGGGTAGTGATAATTTCATATTTATGTGGTTGTTCAACTTTTCCGTAGCAGGAACTGTGTCTCTCTCCCCTCTGCCACTTTGTATTCCCAGAGGGAAGTGCATAAGTGGTGCTCAGTAAACGCTGTTAAATGAATGAGTGGAAGAAGTGTCACAGTGAGGTGTCGGCTGTGATACAGAGAGTTGAGGGCAGACTGTGTGTCTACGCATGGGGCACTGGAGACGAACAAGGTCCCCTGAGAAGAAGGAAAGGTGCCATGTGGGGATGAGAGTCAGGCTCCTGTGCAGATGTAGGGACCATATGTGTTCTTTACTCTTTTCCTTGCTCCATTTTCTGAACAGATTTGACCGTACCCTGGGGGGCCTGGAGATGGAGCTCCGGCTTCGAGAACACCTGGCTGGGCTTTTCAATGAGCAGCACAAGGGCCAGAGAACAAAGGATGTGCGGGAGAACCCACGTGCCATGGCCAAGCTGCTGCGTGAGGCTAATCGGCTCAAAACTGTCCTCAGTGCCAATGCTGACCACATGGCACAGGTACCCACAAGTGGCTGGTTCAGGCTGTATTTGTCCCACGTTGAGAGTGGGGATCCTGCCACTGAACTGGGCTGCTTATGCCTGGCATGGCCCATGTTCCTCCCTCTGCCATCTTCCCAAAGACCTATCTTTTTGTTTCTGTCCTACTCACCAAGAGAGCAGGACCCGGGCAAGAACCCCCTGACAGTCCCTATCCTCCCCCAGATCGAAGGCCTGATAGATGATGTGGACTTCAAGGCAAAAGTGACTCGTGTGGAATTTGAGGAGTTGTGTGCAGACTTGTTTGAGCGGGTGCCTGGGCCTGTACAGCAGGCCCTCCAGAGTGCTGAAATGAGTCTGGTGAGTGAGTAGGGGAAGGTGGGAATGCCCCGTAGGGAAGGGCATAGGAAATCCTTGGGACGTAAGGGGATGAGTCAGTGCTGAGGAGGAGCATTAACTGTGTGCTGTTTCACCTCATTCTTCCCCACTGCAGGATGAAATTGAGCAGGTGATTCTAGTGGGTGGGGCCACTCGGGTCCCCAAAGTTCAGGAAGTGTTGCTGAAGGCCGTGGGCAAGTGAGTGTGGGGGCTAGGGCATTGGGCTGAGTTCTGCCTGGGGCAGGGTTTTGGGCTGAGCAGCTGGAGGGCTGAGGGGAGGGAAGTCCCAGTTACATGCTCCAGGTTAGACCATGCTGAGGCTTGGGACTTTCACAGGGAGGAGCTGGGGAAGAACATCAATGCAGATGAAGCAGCCGCCATGGGGGCAGTGTACCAGGCAGCTGTGCTCAGTAAAGCCTTCAAGGTGAAGCCATTTGTTGTCCGAGATGCAGTGGTCTACCCCATCCTGGTGAGTGAGCCTGACTGAGCAGGTGACAAGTTCCCTTTACCTCTCCCAAGTGTGGTCTCCCCTTCTGTCTGCTGTAACTCATCCCTTTATCTGTCTACTAAGAGGTATCCCCCATCCCACCCCTATCCTTAGCCCAGAACTTACGTGGGTTCTCTAGTGTGCTTCTGTCTGCCTGATTTGTAGGTAGAGTTCACAAGAGAGGTGGAAGAGGAGCCTGGGGTTCATAGCCTGAAGCACAATAAACGGGTACTCTTCTCTCGGATGGGGCCCTACCCTCAACGCAAAGTCATCACCTTTAATCGCTACAGCCATGATTTCAACTTCCACATCAACTATGGTGACCTGGGCTTCCTGGGGCCTGAAGATCTTCGGTGAGAGGCGGGGGTGCCAGATAGGAATTTCAGGGAGCAGGAGGCATGGCTGCTAGACAATCTGAGGACGGGGTGAGAGAGAATGTGGGCCTGCAGGGCTGAAACAGGGGAAGCAGTTGGGGTTAGGTTGTAAGCAGCTCCTCTGGAGAATGTATCCATCCTCCTGAGTGTGCCCTTGGGGAGTGCCCCTGACACCTCATGCCACGAAGCCATGTAGTCTAGACAGGGTACGTGGTCTGGGGTGAGTCCCCCTGAACTCCTCTTTCCTCCCCAACCAGGGTATTCGGCTCCCAGAATCTGACCACAGTGAAGCTAAAAGGGGTGGGTGACAGCTTCAAGAAGTATACTGACTACGAGTCCAAGGGCATCAAGGCTCACTTCAACCTGGATGAGAGTGGCGTGCTCAGTCTAGACAGGGTGAGAGCTGAAGAAGACCCTGTGTGCATGCCAGGGGCTGAGGCCGTGCCAGCCATTTCCAAAGCAGGTTCCACATGGTGTTAGGACATGATAACCATAAAAGATTTGGGAATCAGAAAAATGTTGGCTTTAAACAGAGCTAATCAGAGATCTGGTGCAGACCCCCTTATAGCCTATACATGTTTGTGGGAGTTGTAAATTTCTTGGAACTACTGAATGGTTTGAAGAATCCACTCTTTTTTTTTTTGAGACACGGGCTCGGCTCTGTCACCTAGGCTGGAGTATAGTGGCATGGTCATAGCTCATTCCAGCCTTGAACACCTGGGCTTAAATGATCCTCCCACCTCAGCCTCCTGAGTAACTGGGATGGGCATGTGCCACCACATCCTGCTAATTTTTTTTGTACTTTTTATAGAGACAGGGTCTCACTATGTTGCCCAGACTGATCTCTAACTCCTGGGATCAAGCGATCCTCCTTCCTCAGCCTCCCAAAGTACAGGGATTGCAGGTGGGAACCACTGTGCCTGGCCTCAGGAATCCACTTATTATTTTTTTTTTTGAGACAGAATCTCGCTGTGTTGTCCAGGCTGGAGTACAGTGGCATCTTCACTCACTGCAACCTCCACCTCCTGGTTTCAAGCAATTATCCTGTCTCAGCCTCCTGAGTAGGTGCGATTACAGGTGCTTGCCACCACGCCCCACTAATTTTTGTATTTGGAATAGAGATGGAATTTCACCATGTTGGCCAGGTTGATCTCAAACCCCTGACCTCAAGTGATCCACCTACCTTGGCCTTCTAAAGAGTTAGGATTACAGGATGAGCCACTGTACCTGGCCAGGAATCCATTTTTGAAGAACAAATCTGGGCGTAATATGGATGTAATGGCCCATACTGTTAAGTGGGGGGCTCTATGGGGAAAGAGGAACTAGGTCCCTGTTCATGGAGGGCTCCAAACCAAAGGAGCTGGGTGACCACTTCCAAGTCCTTAGAAAAGGCAAGTGAGAGACTAGGCCTGCAACGGCATGGAGTGTGCGTGAGCAGACACCCACTTTGGCAGGACGTTTGCAGAGAAAGGGTGGGTTAGCCTGTGTGTTTCTTCATTTTGAAACCGTTTTCAGGTGGAGTCTGTATTTGAGACACTGGTGGAGGACAGCCCAGAAGAGGAATCTACTCTCACCAGTAAGATGAGCATGCATGTGTGTATGGGAGAGAATGTATTTGCTTGATGGTTGGGGAGGTGGACAGGGTGTGGCCCTTGGGAGTTACTGCTTTGGGCCCCTTTTGAGTCTTTGGGTTTTCCTCCCCCTAGAACTTGGCAACACCATTTCCAGCCTGTTTGGAGGCGGTACCACACCAGATGCCAAAGAGAATGGTACTGATACTGTCCAGGTAAGCTCAGGATGGAGCCAGGGAGCATGGAGGACAATGGGGGATCCAAGTAGTAGCAGCAGGGGAAGGGGCTGAGGAAGGGCTGCCCCCGCCCCTATTAACCACTCACTCCTCAGGACCCTCTGAGCTCTGAGCTATTTCTTGACCAGTGCTCCCAAGGCCCATTCCCTTCATTCCAGATGCTCTTCCTTTGTCCAGCTAGATTGCCACAGTCCAAGCAGGTCATTGACCGTTTCCACATGGCGGTCACCTGTCCACCCCCGTGCTGTATCTTTAGTGGTGAATGCCTACCAGGCAGAGCCCAGGAGGTCAGCAGTGCTGAGCCAGGCCTTCTTGGAGGCCCTGCTCCTGATCGTTCCCTGGGGCGCCTATGGTGTTTCTAGGAGGAAGAGGAGAGCCCTGCAGAGGGGAGCAAGGATGAGCCTGGGGAGCAGCTGGAGCTCAAGGAGGAAGCTGAGGCCCCAGTGAAGGATGCCTCTCAGCCCCCGCCCCCTGAACCTAAGGGAGATGCAGCCCCTGAGGGAGAAAAGGCCACAGAAAAAGAAAATGGAGACAAGTCTGAGGCCCAGGTGAGCTGTAGCAGAGTGAGGCCAGTGTGGACCCAGAGGCTAAGGGAATGGGTGCCTGCCTTGTTTCTGCCCCGTAGAGAATGTAGGAGGGCCAAGGCTTTTCCTGACATTCCTGACACTTCCCATCCAGAAGCCAAGTGAGAAGGCAGAGGCAGGGCCTGAGGGCATCCCTCCAGCCCCAGAAGGGGAGAAGAAGCAGAAGCCCGCCAGGAAGCAGCGAATGGTAGAGGAGATCGGGGTGGAGCTGGTTGTTCTGGACCTGCCTGACTTGCCAGAGGATAAGCTGGCTCGGTCAGTGCAGAAGTAAGTGAGGACGCTGGTATGTGTATACATGTGTGCAGGGTGGGCAGGTTGAGGGAGGGCTATCTGACCCAAAGTCTCAGGTTCTCACCCACCCTCTCCCCTCATCCCTTTCCCTCCTTTTTCCCATAGACTTCAGGACTTGACACTCCGAGACCTAGAGAAGCAGGAACGAGAGAAAGCTGCCAACAGCTTGGAAGCATTCATCTTCGAGACCCAGGTCAGTAGGCAGGAGGCAGCAGCTCCCCCGGGCTTACACCTGGCTCTGTGGGCCTTGCCCCTGGGCTTGTGGGTGCATGTGTTTGCATGTCCCCCCCAGGACAAGCTGTACCAGCCCGAGTACCAAGAAGTGTCCACAGAGGAGCAGCGTGAGGAGATCTCTGGGAAACTCAGTGCCACATCCACCTGGCTGGAGGATGAGGGTTTTGGAGCCACCACAGTGGTGAGGGGCCTCTCAGGACATGGCAGGTGGAATGGGAGCTCTCCTTCCTCTCCCAGGGTCAGAGAGAAAGAAGAGCTGGGGCTTGAGCCCATAAAGAAGGACATGGGGCTGACTCCAGGCTCTGCTGTCATCCCTTCCACCCCTCTGCCCAATCCCACATCCATCAGATGTTGAAGGAGAAGCTGGCTGAGCTGAGGAAGCTGTGCCAAGGGCTGTTTTTTCGGGTGGAGGAGCGCAAGAAGTGGCCTGAACGGCTGTCTGCCCTCGATAATCTCCTCAACCATTCCAGCATGTTCCTCAAGTGAGCAGTCCCTGAATCCCTTATGCATTCCTGCCAGGGCCACTGGTTCTCATTCCTACTAGCTTCCCACTCCCCACACCCCAAACCCCTCTTCCTGTGGGGCTAATGGTCTCCTCTTTGGCTTCCAGGGGGGCCCGGCTCATTCCAGAGATGGACCAGATCTTCACCGAGGTGGAGATGACAACATTAGAGAAAGTCATCAATGAGACCTGGGTAATCACTTTGTAAATACTTAACCAGATACTTAGCTGCCATCCCAGGTACTGTGGGAGAGGCGGAGAGATGAAGCCACAGCAGCCCCTGCCACCTGGCTTACCATCTAATCTGAAGGCAAAAGATGTCCGTATTTGAGCCCACATTTGATTAGTCCCAAACAAGGGCCATGGCCATAAGAGTCATCAGACTGGAGGAGCAAAAAACCCATCCCATGAGGATAGAGAAAGCTGCTTTGAGGAGCTGGGATTTGAGCTAGATTAAGAACATGGTCCCAGGGTTTGGCTCTGTGAAACTGACTTGTCATATGAAGCAGAAACAGTTTTGGATATGTGGGGGCTCTTGAGCCAGAGCTCAGAAGTGGAGAGTCAAGAAAAGAGTATTTGGCGAGGTGCAGTGGCACACACCCGTAATCCCAGCACTTTGGGAGGCTGAGGTGGGCGGATCACAAAGTCAAGAGATCAAGACCATCCTGGCCAACATGGTGAAGCCCCATCTCTAATAAAAATACAAAAAATTAGCTGGGCATGGTGACATGCGCCTATAGTCCCAGCTACTCTGGAGGCGGAGGCAGGAGAATCTCTTGAACCTGGGAGGCAGAGGTTGCAGTGAGCCAAGATTGTGCCACAGTACTCCAGCCTGGTGACAGAGCCAGACTCCATCTTAAAAAAAAAAAAAAAAAAAAAAAGGAGTATTCAAGGGGTTTATTCAGTTGTAGTCACTCCACTGTGGTAGGATGTAACCAGAAACATGCAGGTCATTGTGGAGAACCTCTAATGTTAGCCTCATGGGGCTGAGCCCAGAGGTGGCAGTGATTTGCAGTCTGAGGGAAGAGGTTGGTTGGGGGTATGATTCCATCTGGGACAGAGATGTCTGCTCTCTCCATGGCTAGCTCGGATCCTTTCCTGGTCTCACCCACAGGCCTGGAAGAATGCAACTCTGGCCGAGCAGGCCAAGCTGCCCGCCACAGAGAAGCCCGTGTTGCTCTCAAAAGACATTGAGGCCAAGATGATGGCCCTGGACCGAGAGGTGCAGTATCTTCTCAATAAGGCCAAGTTCACTAAGCCCCGGCCCCGGCCCAAGGACAAGAATGAGACCCGGGCAGAACCTCCCCTCAATGCCAGTGCCAGTGACCAGGGAGAGAAGGTCATCCCTCCAGCAGGTGAGGGCAGGGTACCTGGCTGCATGTTCTGCTGGACAGGGAGATGGCCTTCTTTCCCTCCTGGGGCTGTGTCTCACCCCTAATTTTCCTCCAGGCCAGACTGAAGATGCAGAGCCCATTTCAGAACCTGAGAAAGTAGAGACTGGTGAGTTGGGGCAACCGTGGTTGGGCACTTGGATGTTGCATTAGCCCAGGGGTAGGCAAACTGCCAGGCATAGCCTGTTTCTAGACAGCCCATGAGCTTAAATGGCCTTTGCATTTTTAAAGAGTTGTTTAAAAAAAAAACAGTAGGCAAAGAGACCAAATGTGGTTCATGTATCCTAAAGTATTTACTAGCTGGCTCTTCATAGAAAAAGTGGCCCAGCCCTCCCTTAGCCTCTTCCTCCCTTCTGAGGAGACTAACCTGTTCCTTCCCAATGCAGGATCTGAACCAGGAGACACTGAGCCTCTGGAGTTAGGAGGTCCTGGAGCAGGTGAGGGTGGAGTTGGGGCTATGGTGGGAAGCCTGGTGGGGTCTCAGGAAAACCTGCAAAGGACTGGGGTTGGTTACCACTGTTTCACCTGCTCCCCTCAACTCCCAGCAGAACCTGAGCAGAGAGAACAATCGACAGGACAGAAGCGGCCTTTGAAGAACGATGAACTATAACCCCCACCTCCGTTTTCCCATTCATCTCTACCCGCTTCTCCCACCACCTCTATTTATTAAACATCGAGAGTCAGGGGAGGGGTTGGTCCTGCCCTCTGCTAGAGTTCCTTTTCTCACACCTATGATTGGAGATGTGGAGAAGGAGAGGGGAGGGACAGCTCACTGGTTCCTTTTGCAGTAGCTAAAACTGTGGCTAAAAACTGAAATTGTTCAGTTTTCCAGTCCCACTGTTCTCTACCCATGTAGGCCCTAAATTTGGGGAAAAATCACTATTATGTCTTAATTCTTTGCCTGTGGGTAAGGAGAGAACGGCTGCCAGTGGTTGATGGGTCCTGGGGATGGGAAGGGGGTATCTGGGGTTACTGCGGAGTTTCCACTCTTCTCTGGTCATCCTTCTTTCCCTACCTCCCTCTCCCACCATGTGATCAGCGTTCTTTTGGGCCAGTGTCTGCAGATCCTTATTTACCAGGTTTGGTTTCTGAGTGCATATCTGTGCTCTTTCCTCCCTCTGTGGGCTTCTCTCCCTGAATCCCCTTCCCCATACCCATCCAGCTCTCCCACTGGGTTTCCTTGGCTTCCTGCTGCGAGTTGGGCAGTTCTCTGTCCCTTGCCTAAAAGCCCGTCCCTCTGGATTGGCCAAAGTAAATCTAGAAGGATTGTCACTCGCATTTCCAACTCCTAGTGGCCAGAGGAGGCAGGGACACAGTGAAGAAGGGAGCCCACCACCTCTCCAAGGAGGAAAGCCAGGTAGAATTGTTGGTATGGGATGCCAGCATCCTGCAAGCTCTGTCATAATCTGCATCTTCCCAGGAGCCTGGTACCCCAGGTTCCTGTGACTCCTTGCCACCTTCTCTCTCCTGTTCTGCTCCTTCCAGACGGCCTTTCTCACCCCTTGCCTCCCCTGGGCTGACCAAACTGTGCTTTCTACTGTGAGCCCCTATCCCAAGATATCCTGGGGGACAGAGAGACCATGGTGTGAATGTAGAGATGCCACCTCCCTCTCTCTGAGGCAGGCCTGTGGATGAAGGAGGAAGGCCAGGACGCCTAGGGAGCCTGTCCTCAGTACTCTGTCTGTAGCAGGAGCTAGGGCTGCTGCCCCAGCACTAAGACAAGAACGAACCTGGCTGAGGCAGTCATTTTGTCTTTTTCTTTTTTTTCCCTCCCCAACGTTGGCAGAGATGGGACCTACGGGCCCCACCCCTCCACCTCTTCTGTATGTTTGAATTCTTTCAATAACAGTTGATGCTGATTGGACAGGTTTGAGTCAGATTGTACTTCGCTCCATTGTTAATTGAGAAACTGTTTCAATAAAATATTCTTTTCTACAGTTTTTTCCATTGTGAGTTTTTAAAAATAGAAAAATTTTTAAATAGAAACTTTGGGCCAGGCATGGTGGCTCATACCTGTCATCTTAACATTTTGGAAGGCCAAGATGGGAGAATCACTTGAGGCCAGACGGGCCTGGACAACAGCGAGACCCTGTGTCAAAAAAAAAAAAAAAAAAAAAATAGCTGAGTGTGGAGGTATGTGCCTGTAGACCCAGCTACTTGGGAGACTGAAGCTGGAGGGTCCCTTGGGCCCAGGACTTTGAGGGTTCAGTGAGTTATGATTGTGCCATTGTACTCCAGCATGGGCGACAATAAAAATCTCACACACAAAAAAAGTTTGAATAATATCACCAAAATGTTAACACTTTGGACTTAGTTGAGATTTGTATATATATTTTTTTTAATATGGGAAACAATATGGGTTTTATTTTACTGCTAACATTATTTGGACTTCTATATCCCAAGTATTTTTAGGAAAAAAATTTTTTTTTGAGATGGAGTCCTACTCTGTCATCCAGGCTCACTGCAATCTCTGCCTCCTGGGTTCAGGCAATTCTACTGTCTCAGCCTCCTGAATAGCTGGGATTACAGGCACCCACCACCACACCCAGCTTTTTTTTTTTTTTGTATTTTAGTAGAGAGAGGGTTTCGACAGGTTGGCCAAGCTGGTCTCGAGCTCCTGACTTCAAGCAATCCACTTGCCTCAGCCTCCCAAAGTGCTGGGATTACAGGCGTGAGCCACCATGCCTGACCTTACCCAGGCTATTTAAAGAATTAACACTGGTACTTCTTGAATTCTTCCGTAAAATTGAACAGAGGGTGTACTTCAAAACTCATTCTATGAGCAAGAATTGCCCTGTTACCAAAGCCAGACAGACCCTGCAAGAAAACCATAGACCAGGCCGGGTGTGGTGGCTCACACCTGTAATCCCAGCACTTTGGGAGGCTGAGGTGGGCGGATCACTTGAAGACCAGCCTGGCCAACATATAGTGAAAACTACTAAAAATACAGAAATTAGTTGGTCATGGTGTCACGCAGTTGCACTCCAGCCTGGGTGACAGAATGAGACTCCATCTCAAAAAAAAAATTTTTTTTCAAAAATTAGCTGGGGGTGGTGGCCAGCTACAGAATCCTCTTGTTTAGAGGGAGTCATGAACAATTAATCCAAAACCACCAGGTAAAAGTCAAGATGATGTGAACTGGGCTTCCCGACAAGAAATAACTCAAGAGAGCTATCAGGACAAGATGCACACAGGGTCTACTAAAAGATGCCCTCCTGTACCACTCCCATATGTTTCCTGTACCAAGTTTTTCTTCTAAAATCCCTTCGCTGAGCCCAAAAGGCTGGAACAGCCTTTTAAAGGCATGAGTCTGGCCATATCCCAACTGGGTGGATCACCTGAAGCCAGGAGTTTGAGACCAGCCTGGTCAACATGGCGAAACCCTGTCTCTACCAAAAATACAAAAATTAGCAGGGCATGGTGGCAGAGGCCTGTAATCCCAGCTGCTAGGGAGGCTGAGGCAGGAGAATCGTCTGAACCTGGGAGTGGAGGTTGCAGTAAGCCAAGATTGCACCACTGCACTCCAGCCTGGGTGACAGAGTGAGACTGCGTCTCAGAAACAAAAAAGATAAAGAAAAAGAAAAGAAAACTAGTGTTGATGGTGCCATGGAGTGTTGCCATGGAATTTGTAAACTGTTGTGGCACGGGTGGGAGTGTCTTTATGTTAATGCGTGGTGAGGGCAACTAGAGACCGTTTTTGTCACCATCTGCTGGTTTTGGTGGGCTTCTTCACTGCACCTTGTTTCTGCCAGAGCCTGCTCCAGCCAGCAGGGTCTTGGCCAGGGTCATGACTAGTGTTGGGAAAACAATTCTGATTCCTACCTTCCTGGGACTACAGGCATGTGCCACCACACCCATTCATTTTTTTTCAATTTTTTTGTAGATATGAGATCACGTTTTATTGCCCAGGCTGGTCTCTAACTCCTAGCCTCAATTATAGTTATTTAAAAATCTATTAGCTCTAAGGCCAGGCACGGTGGCTCATGCCTGTAATCCCAGCACTTTGGGAGCAGAAGCAGGAGGATCACTTGAGGCCAGCAGTTTGAAACCAGCCTGGCCAGCATGGTGAAATCCCATCTCAAGTAAAAATTCAAAAATTAGCCAGGCATGATGACACACGCTTGTAGTCCCAGCTATTTGGGTGGCTGAGGCAGGAGAACTGCTTGAACCCAGGAGGCGGAGGTTGCAGTGAGCCAAAACTGCACCACTGCACTCCAGCCTGAGCAATAGAGAGAAACTCTGTCTCAAAAAAAAAAAATCTGAAAGACTACTAAACTACTCCTTCCAACTACTCTTTTTCAGGCTCTGTGTGAGCCTGGAAGTTCTTCATACACTTCAGCCAAAACAACATATGCAACAGCTTGAATGCAGAAGTAGATATGAAAAATACAGCTGTCTTCTTCTTCTTCTTTTTTTTGAGACAGAGTTTTGCTCTGTCGCCGAGGCCGGAGTGCAATGGCACGATCTTGGTTCACTGCAACCTCCGCCTTCTGGGTTTAAGCGATTCTCCTGCCTCAGCCTCCCGAGTAGCTGGGACTATAGGCTTGCGCCACCATGCCTGGCTAATTTTGTAATTTTAGTAGAGACGGGGTTTTCACCATGTTGGTCAGGCTGGTTTTGAATTCCCAACCTTAGGTGATCTGCCTGCCTCGGCCTTCCAAAGTGCTGAAATTCTAGGTGTGAGCCACCTCACCCAGCCTTCAATAAACTTTTAATATTGTTAAGTAAAAATCACTTTGAATGGATATGCAAGGGAAGGATGGAGTGATACTTTTCCTCACCCATCATAAGCATCATGGCTAACACTCCTAGAACAAAAGACTGGTTCACAACACTAAGACGTAACAAATTTATTTAATTAAATTTATGACAGCATTCAGAATGAGAGCCCCAAAATCCAGGGAAAACTGTCAATGTTTATACTTAGATTCAATGAAGAATGAGCAGCCTCATAGAAATGTAATTGGACAAAAATGGTACAAGCTAATGGAAACAGACTGAGTGGGGAAATCTAGCAAAACCCGTTTGTTCAGTCTTCTTGGCTTCTTCTCTGCTGTAGCATTGATTTCTCCCAGGTATGGGATAGGACCCCTCTGGAATGAAGGCCTTAATTCCTTTATGGCCAGCTGTTACACAGAAGGGTGGGAAGAAAGAGTAATATTTTTACTCTAAAAAAGCAGAAAGGAGTTCTAGCTTCTATGACCCTTCTTGTGGAAGAAGGATTTGAGTTTCTGTGACTGGTTTTGGAGGAGAATGAGAAGCAACAAGCAGGAGGGCAGGGCAGGGTCAGAGACAGACTTTGCATCTGAGGCTGCTTCTGAGGCCTTTGGGTTGCCTCTTTTGTGTTGCTATTAAGGAATACTTGAGACTGGGCAATTTATAAAGAAAAGGGATTTATTTGGTTCGTGGTTTTGCAGGCTGTACAAGCATAGCACCAGCATCTGCTTGACTTCTGGTAAGGCTTCAAGAAGCTTTTACTTAGGCCGGGCACAGTGGCTCACGCCTATAATCCTAACACTTTGGAAGACTGAGGTGGGCAGATCATGAGGTCAGGAGTTCAAGACCAGCTGGCCAACATGGTGAAGCCCTGTCTCTACTAAAGATACAAAATTAGCCGGGCATGGTGGCACACACCTGTAGTCCCAGCTACTTGGGAGGCTAAGGCAGGAGAATCACTTGAACCCGGGAGGTGGAGGTTGCAGTGAGCTGAGATCAGGCCACTGTGCTCTACCCTGGGCAAGAGAGTAAGACTCTGTCTCAAAAAAAAAAAAAAGCTTTTACTCGTCCAGGCAAGGCTGCTCATGACTGTAATCCCAGCACTTTGGAAGGCCAAGGCAGGAGGATCACCTGAGGTCAGGAGTTCAAGACCAACCTGGCTAACATCGTAAAACTCCATCTCTACTAAAAATACAAAAAAATTATTTGGGCGTGGTGGCACGTGCCTGTAATCCCAGCTACTCAGGAGGCTGAGGCAGGAGAATCGCCTGAACCCGGGAGGTGGAGGTTGCAGTGAGCCAAGATCACACCACTGCACTCCAACCTCAGGGACAGAACAAGACTCTGTCTCAAAAAAAAATAAAAGCTTTTACTCATGGTGGAAAGTGAAGAGGGAGCAGGCATGTCATGCCAGGCTCCTTTAAACAACCAGGTTTGGCATGAACTAACAGAGTGAGAACTCATTCATTACTGGGATATGGCACCAAGACGTTCAAGAGGGATCTGGCCCCATGACCCAAACACCTCCCATTAGACCCACCTCCAGCACTGAGGATCACATTTCAATATGAGATTTGGAGGGGACAAATATCTAAACCATATCACCTTTGTTTTGGTTTATCATTTTCTAAGCTGCAACAGATATTTTTCCAATGCATGATTTTTTTTTTTCAGATTTTGACCTGCAAATCCAGGCAAAATTTTTATTTATTTATTTATTTTTGAGACAGAGTCTCACTCTATAACCCAGGCTGGAGTGCAGTGGCACGACCTCACTGCATCCCCTGCCTCCCAGATTTCAATTCAAGCAATTCTCCTGCCTCAGCCTCCCTAGTAGCTGGGATTACAGGCACACACCACCATGCCCAACTAATTTTTGTATTTTTAGTAGAGGCGGGATTTCACCATGTTGGCCAGGCTGGTCTTGAACTCCTGACCTCCTGATCCGCCTGCCTCAGCCTCCTAAAGTGCTGGGATTACAGGTGTGAGCCACCGCACCTGGCCCAGGCATAATTTTTTAACATCACACATTAATTATTTGGAAAATATTGGTCTATTGAATTATGCAGATCTTCCAAATGTTAATGTATTTCATTACACAATACAAAAAATTTTATTTTATAATATCACCATTGACCTCACTGTAAAAGTGTTAAAATTGCAGGAAGCCATCAAACTCAAATTTTGTTACTGGCAACAAATACCATCAGTTTTTCTCCTC